AACAATAATTTCTGCTATGGATTCGTTCCAGATTCCCCACTTGACTTTCGAATTTGCCTCCATTGACCAGCGGCACCGGGTCTGCGGATGATACGTCATGGCGAATTTAACCTGCTGATATGGGCCGATAATTTTGGCCACTTGTTGTTGACACAAAACGTCATAAAAATACATGGAGCCCTCGAAATATAAACATTGTCTGTAGAAATGTGCTTTCTGCCTGACATGACGTCCAGACGATATTTATAAAGCTTATCAGGTCGAATATAGCGTGATATAATGAACAATCAAACGATATCTTATAACGAAGAAAAGGTACTTCTGTCAGAACCAAAACAAAATTTTATGGTTATTTTTTGGAAATTTTGGAACACACGCGTCTTATGGAGAAGAACCAGTGAATCATGATGGGAGATTCCCTTTGACCATGGCGTATTGTTATTGACCATTATTAACCGATATCAACAGCAGCTTAATTAGATCATCAAACTATTTAACTGGCAGCCCCGTGGATTTTATGACAATCGACCTTATTATCAGCAATATATAAATGGGGAAAATGCGTAGGGGAAAAACTCAATCCCCCGTTCATTATTAAATTATAATTCAGGCAACAAGCCATGACAGATGTCAGAGTTATGACTACACGGGTCTAGATTACACGTTTCGTGTGGAGGGGGATGGGATGGACGAGGGACTTTTGTGGCAATTGCAGTTTGCCATATGAAGGAAAATGGAAAAGTTCTGTAATTTGCATTCGCCGCAATTGTGTTTCTCGGCTGGTTATCCCATCCAATTGTCCAGAGTGTGTCAATGCTCTATAATTAGCAAACGAGCTAACAATTTCGCACTGTACTCCTATATCTGTCGATCGAAGTGAAGTGTATATAAGACCTTAGCTTTACTCACCTGAGAAGCAATTTAAGAAAACAGCCAAAGCCGCGACAAGTGGCCACTTCACCTGTGTACGTTATTGTCATTTTTCTCTCCTGTTTTTTATTTCACCTCCAATTTAGTTTTGTTTGTAGTGCTCTTTTATAGCTGAGATTGTTGTTCCGACCCTCTTATCGCGTCCCACACATCGCTGTTTGTCGAAAACGAAAGTTCCACTCTTCACCTGAAACCAAATAAGATAGAACAGAATTTTTTATAGAGCTCTCGGGGTTATGTAATAACAGAGGAAGTACAAGCAATTACTCATAACAGTACCAGGAATCGTTGACAGAGCTTTTATAACCAGTACAATAATGCAATTTGAAATTCTAAAATCGATAGTTTTTCACAATTAGACATGCGACGAAACTACCGAAGGAAACCTGCAGCGCGGAAAACAATTGAAATGCATTTAACATTTAACAGAAAAGCAACAGCTTCGAGCTGATTATATTAATTGCTGCAATTTATATAGCCTATGGCACAAAAGCCCCGATGCATGTTCAGATATTTCTCTTTATACATATATATAGTATGTGTATCTGAAACACTGTGAGCTGCGAAAATGCTCAACTTTGCGTGTGGGCGATGTCAAAGTCATCGTTTGAGCGTTTAAGCGGTCTCCATTTGATTTCGAGAGGTGTCTCTGGGGGTCAGCCTCCAACGATTAGATACCAATTAACCAAACAAACAGACTCAAAGTTAAACTTCGATTGCCATCTAGTGACTACTGTGAATTTCGGAGAATAAATGGGGGAAGTACATTATGTACTAAAGGCCAAGATGAGCTCATTGAGTTAGGTTTTCCTCATATAGAATTTTGTTTATCTCCCTTCCACATACTCTGATGAATTTCCGTCACAAAAAGAGAGACAGAAAAATGGGAGAATTTCGGCGAACCGGTGAGCTAATGATCAGAAATCACACCACGAACTCGGCTCCGAGCTCAAATTATATTACCAAGACCGATCCGACCATGTGCCATGTGATCCCGGCCTTTCTGGTGGGGAGAACATGACATCATGTATCGGTCTGCTTACTTTAGAGGGGTTCGCTAGGTATGCTGTGCTTAAAACCGATCGTTTGTTACACACAGGAAGAAATAATTAGTAATTTAAAAAGCATAAAAAATTAAATTTATTTACTGAAAAAACTAACTAAAAACTAAAAATATCTTTGATTGTAATAATATAGGTACTTTTTGTATATTTCATAAAATTATTTAAAATTAAAAAAATAATATATGATTTTCTGTGTATGCTTCTATACATTTAGTTTGATTTATTTCTGGCTTGGCTCACAAAGCTCATAAAAAAAACAATGAAATGACGTAGCTCGCTGATTACTAGTTCGAATTTGATTAGGCAGTCAAGGTAACTCATCGGTTTTAAGGGTTTATTACTTAACTATTATTTAAATATGAATTTCAAAAGTCTGTTGATTTATCACTTCCTCGTAGTCAGTGGGAGCTGAAATAGCAAACGTCTGAGAGCGTCTTAAATTCTGGGTAAACAAAAGAAAAAGCGATAAGAACGAGACTTTCGACTGGATATATAGTGGGTATAAAACAAATAAGCTAATTTATCGTATATGCGAGCGAAGTGTGCAAGTACACAGAAACAGACAAAAGAATAGTGATGAATGTTGGATAAATAAGATATTAGAGTCTAGTCAAGGGAAAAAAACATTACAATTAGTTTTGGTTAATCAAGGGAAATCCCAATTTTGGATTTCAAATTCTTTTTAATTCTAATATCTCAACCGCAGCTGTATGATTGGATCGCAGTAAATAAATTTGCTCTTGCCGAATGCAACAAAGGCGGATCATTCATTGTTTTTGTTCAACTATTGGCATTCAGAACTTGACCCTCCTTTTTTTACAGGGTAGTCTCCAAGCCGAACCCTTCTCGATATTTCATCATCCCAAAGTGGCACTCGAAGTGATAAATAATCCACTGTCATTTTGCTGATTTCTTTGTCTCATATTGTTTATTAAGCAAACTTATCGATGCGTTGGCTTCGCGAGAACTGACCTCTTCTCTTGCTTTTATATAATGCATTTCGTTTAAGGGACGCAATATTTGCAGATCAGACTTTCAACGTCAACATTGTTGACCTATAAAGATATATTGGTCATATTTACAGAGACTTGTCGCTGTTCTTTATTTCCATTAGCATAATATTCAATATTCGTTACACTGATTCAAACTTGACGACAACATTCGAATTCAAATGGCCGAGGTTAATGACTTTTTCGGCGTACATTCGGCCGGCGACTTTCGAGAGTTGTCAGTGGGCCAGAAAGGCGCGTGGCTAAATTTAAATTATTCTCGAGTGAGAGCACACTGCATTTTATTAAAATTCTTGGCACTACAGACATTTGGCGTAGGAAGAAATAGAAAATTAAGCAGACGACAGTGGGAAGTAGTTAAAGTGGGTGATACAACCTCTAAAAAAATTTAAATGTGTTCAGGAACCTTTAAAATAATTTAATTTTCCTAAACCAAATTTGTTTATCTGTTTTACTTGACTTTTAGTTATGTTTGTTGAGTGTAATGGTTAAGACTTTAAAGTTTAAACTATTACATTTTCACATTTTGATTTATGATTTTTTTTCGCTTAGCAATGGTGTTATCTGTGGTGAAGTTTATTAATAGCTTCCTTTTGGTCGCCCAAGTAATTTGCGTAGAGATTGCAGTTGCAAAACCAAAATGGATGAGTCACTGGGAAACATATGTACAATGTACATTGTACATATATCCACAGTAAATATGCCATATACTTAAGGGCATTGTGGATTTTAGTTGATTTTTACATTTTGACTTTGAGCCATTTCGGGACTTGCAATCGATTTTAAATTCGCTCGTCACGCGTTTGAAACTGATTTCAGTTGTTATTCCTGGCGGTGCACTGTTATTAAATCGCTCCATGGTCACTTACACTTACATCTATTTGCTTGGATTCACGGCACGCAAGCGGCGAAACAACAATAAAGTTAACAAATTGGCAGGTAGCAAAAATAAAAGGTAGCAGAAGGGCTTTGTTGTTGTTTTGGGTTTTATGTACGTTTATTTTCTTCACTTGGCCTTTATGCTTCACTATTTCACGTCGTCGTTGCCGCTGAACTTCTTACACAAACACAAGCATGGGCACAAACACACGGACAAAGACAGAGGCGGCCATTCAACAAAAATCGCGTTGTTATGCTTTTCCGTTTCTGGCTAGCAGCCCTTATGATATTTTCGGCCACTTCCGCGCTCAACGACCGCCACTGGGAAACTGAAACTGAAACCTAGACCACTGCCATGCGAAAATCATGCACTCAGCGTACAGCTGTATTGAAAGCGAGTGCGAAAATTGCGGAGCGCCGAGGGAGCGAAAAGAGCGAAAAACTGGTTGTTCTGCCGGAGAGCCGAAAGGCAGATAAGCCGAGCACAGGGCAGGAATCGGGTGAAAAGGGGGTGGGCGCCGGATATAGCTTATATCGAGGGGAAATCGGCAAACAAGAAATGCATTATTAAGAAATCGTGTATAATAACCATTAATAAACATTTGAATTTAAAATATCTTTTCAAAAAGCTTTTAAAATAAATGTTTAAGGTATAAATTTTTTTACAATACCAAGCCATTTACCTTTATTTTACGTGGACGCTTCTTTCTACACCTTTGACCGCAAACCGCATATGAGTCTCAGCTTTCAAGAAGTGTTGCATACTTTTAGGCATTCGTGCTATAAGAGCTGCACTTTGTTTCATGGAAACTGACTTGAGAATTTTCCTACAATTAACATACAATTAAGTACTAATTAGTTAATTAGTTTTCACCTAACTAATCTTAATGTTTTTGTTCCCTAAAAAGATGAATTTCTTAAATACCAGAAACCAGAAAATATATGCCTCAATATGTATATATTGGATATTATTTGGGTATTATTCATGGGAAAATTCCCATCGCTATCAAATTATATGTAAAAAATCACAAATAAGTGGAATGGATTTTTATAGCCAAGAAAACTCGCTGTTCAAGTGTATCTTTCCTGCCCAGCCAAGTAAAAAACATCAAAATTGTTCTTTTTAGTTTTTATTAAATTAAATGATTACATTTTAAATTAATTACAATTCGTACGTTTAACGCATTTGCCAAATGTTTGCTTCCTAACATTTTAGACTACACTTTAAATTAATTTTGTTGGCCTGCCTTTGTTTATTTTTACAAGTAGTTGAAACATTTCACTAATACACATTCGTTCGCACTTATGACAGACTAATGACTTATGGTTAAGTGGTTCAATATTAAAATTAGGCAAAGAGAACTTTAGTACGTTTATTTTAGTATTTTACAGCGGCATCGTCTCTACCATCGTGTTGGAGAAAATTTGGAAAACTTGTAGTTCGATCATTTTCACTTAGTTATGTACATTTGAGACTCAAGTTCGAAATGGAGAGATGGGAAGTACTTAGCCTAGCTTACAGAATTAGTGTTCATTATTGTCGCGTTCGTATCAATTGGGATCTGATCATATCATATATTACTGGGCGGTCCCCGATGGGCGCGCTGTCCGTGTAACGTGGAATGTCTAGAGCCTGGACGCGAGTGCACAATTGCATAATCGTTATCATTATCGATTGGCATCGACCTTCGAAGTACGTTGGATAAGTTTGGATTTAATACAATACATTTCAAATTGCAGAAAGTAGGGGGGTCAAGGAAAGTCTTCGAGACAGATTAGTTAGCAACTCTTCGAAATTGGCGGTTAGTTATTCGATTGTCTTTTTTATGGAGGGGCGGAGAGTTAGTTAGAGAGATAGTTGGTTATTACCGGTAGACAAATGCAAATTACTATCGGTTAATTACAGTTGCAGTACTAGGCACGAAATGGTTTTTCATTCTGTGTTTTGGATTTTTCTGTTTTTGTGATCTGTTGTGTTGTAATTATTGGTTGGTTTTGGTTTTTCTGGGCTGTCCAGGAGATATATACGATACATAGAGATACGCAGATACAAGATACTTTGTTGGCATGCTTTTGTTTTGTTTTTGTATTGTGTGTGTGGCTCCACAGCAACCGGAAAATAATTTGCGAGAGCAGAGCAGATGCATTTTGAAGTGTAGAATAGAGGTGTGTTGTGTGTGTTGTCTGTTTGTTGTTTGATTTTGTGGAGGCAGCTTAATATCTATCAGACCTATTTGAGTGTATCGTGGAGCCGCCGCTGGTGTAGCCCTTGTGGGCATCCCTGCCGTGCAGCGAGTAGCGGGATCCGTACTGACTGCCATGCCAACTGCGGTACGGATCGTACTCCTCGATGATCGATGGCTCCTTCTCGATAATCTGCAAGTGTTCGATTGGGTGAGATTTATGGAAAAGCAAAGGGTTCTTTAAGGATAGAAAAATGTCTTCTAATCTGTAGTTAATCTACGACAAATGACAAATTTATTACCTCTGTATTGGCACAACTGCAGCTCATGGCAGTGCACAGGAAGATGTTCATCAGCAGCATGATCAGGAAGAGTACGCCCAGGGTGATGGTCAGCCACAGCAGCCAACTGGGTCGGATGCCATCCTCGCAATTGCCCGAGATCACTGCCCAGATACAAAAATATAAATACCATTAATAACCCGCACATTTCCATATTCAGCTATTTAACTCACATCTAGCCTCGGCGGGATCGAGCACAAAGACCGTGGTCCCAGCCAGGCTGGAACCCTCCTCATTTGGCCCGAATTTCCGGGGTCCATTGGTGCCCTTGCCGAAGCCAGCCAGGGCCACATCGTTGCAGTCATCGATCTCCACACAGCGACCGTAGCACTGGATCACATCGCACTGCAGATGCACCTCGGAGCCTGAAAGTATCGCAGAGAAAGTTAGAATCTGGGCGCCTTGGGTGGAAATTCCATGTCATACCCTCGGGGAACTTGAACATCGAGGAGAGCACCGCCTCGGCCGCTCGTCCATCTGCTGTGGGCACAAAACGACTGATGATCTCCGAGTCATAGGGGCAGCTTTGGGGGGAAACAAAAATTACACTGTGCAGCATTTTTAGTGCTTTTTAAATTTACCTCGATGGATGCTATATTTTTGGATTCGTTACGAATTCCCAAGTTAAACTGCGTTTTCAAAAAAGTTCCCCGACGCAAGGATTCTCAGCAAAAGGACCTCAAAGTTCGAAAAATGCTGAAATTGGCCAACTTTGCGGAGCTCTCAGAGGCAAATGGATGCATGGTTTGATTCGATGTTAAAGTTTTTTAAAAGATACACCCTTTATCTTTCAAACCCCATACTTAAAAAATTTTTAAGATTTTTTTAAGGCAGAAACAAATTCTAGAAAACATAGTCAAAAAACATAAAAGTATACAGCAGCGGTCAAAATGGTAGTAGTGATGCCGCCCTGTGTATTTAAAAGTTTGTTGTTGTAATTGATCTTTTCCTGGTAATATTGTATTGATTATAATTTTACTATTAGACTAATTGGATAAGAAAAAATTACAACATAAAACTTTTAAAAACACAAGGCGGCAACACTGCTACTATTTTGACCGCAGCTGTATGTTTTTCAGTTTTTTGACTATGTTTTTTGGAATTTATTTCTGCCTTAAAAAAAATCCTAAAATTATTTTATGTATGGGGTTTGAAAGATAAAGGGTGTATCTTTTAAAAAACTTTAACTTCGAACCAAGCCATGCATCCATTTGCCTCTGAGAGCTCCGCAAAGTTGGTCAATTTCAGCATTTTTCGAACTTTGACGTCCTTTTGCTAAGAATCCTTGCGTCGGGGAACTCTTTGGAAAACGCAGTTTAACTTGGGAATTCGTAACGAATCCAAAAATATAGCATTCATCGAGGTTAATTTTTGATGCTGCATAGTGTTATGAGCAAAAAATGTTTTTACACTGTGAAAAATATTGAATACATTTTAACTTATTCATAAATAATTACGGAGTCATAATTGGGACTTTAATTGTTTCATTCATTATACATGTAATTACTTTTATTGTAATAAATATTAAATTATTTTTTTAACAAGTTTGAAATACATTTTTTTAAGAAGATCTTTATAATGATTTCGTTATATTGTAGTAGCAGCATATATACATTTTGTATTTCTAGTATATAGTTTGCCATTTCAGGATTCAAACAAAACTCAGGAAATATAATTTCACATTAGTAAATGATCAACTTAAGTTATTCCCAAGTTGTAACAACTCATGTTGTAGTGGATTAAAAACAAATAAATTACTGAATCCGAATGAGTACGATGTATGTTTAGGAAAATTGTATTTTTTGAATATTTATACCCTTGCAGAGGGTATTATGATTTCAGTCAGAAGTTTGCAGCGCAGTGAAGGAGACGTTTCCGACCCCATAAAGTATATATATTCTTGATCAGCATCACAAGACGAGTCGATCTAGCCATGTCCGTCTGTCCGTCTGTCTGTTTCTACGCAAACTAGTCTCTCAGTTTTTGAGCTATCGGGACGAAACTTTTGCAAAAGTCTTCTTTCTATTGCAGGTAGTATATATGTCGGAGCCGACCGGATCGGACAACTATATCTTATAGCTCCCATAGGAAGGATCGGAAAAAAAAAACTTTAAAAAATTCTAGCTTCGGTGTTTTTTGAAATATTACCTTCTACTTTTGGGGATGTTATTTTTTAAATATTTCTGAATTTCGGACTACTATATCATATAGCTGCCATAGGAACGATCAAAAAATTAATGGAAAATAGGAAATAAATTCTAGCTTCTTTGGTTTTTATTGTATTATCTTCTACTCTAGGATATAACTCTTTTTAAATATTTCCGAATTTCAATTTTAATTTGATCAAAATCGGACGACTATATCATATAGCTGCCATAGGAACGATCGGAAAATTAATGAGAAATATTAGAAAATTGAACATTTTTGCGATTTGTTAATTAATAGGAATGATCTGCAAGGGTATATAAGCTTCGGCTGGCCGAAGCTAGCTTCCTTTCTTGTTATTATTCGTGTTTAGGTGCATAATTCAGGTATAATTCGACTTACCCGCTGTCGTCAGTGAGCTTTTGGGTCCTGTTCTTCTTGTCAAAGGCGAAGCAGTTGCCCACACGCAGGCCGTAGGTATCTGGAGATGGTAATATAGGAGCATTATAAACCGACTTATAAAACAGAGCCCCGGGGGGCTGGGTCTACCCACCGTTTGGCTTGGAGAACTCGGCGCGAATTGTGTACTTATGCCCGTAGACCGTCTCACGCACTCGGTGATCGTTCTCCAGGAACTTGAGCACGACATGGGCATTGTCATCGCTGGGGAAGAAGTAGTGGGAGGAGTGTATTTTTATAGAGGTCTTTATTGCCGGTTGGGGGTTCTAACGGCTCTGTAATTACTCCGTGTGGCAGGGGCTAATTAAAAGCATAGCCAATAGACCCAAAAGCTTTGGGCGAAGCTGCAATTGCAAGTTCTGCAATTATGCAACTGCAATTGCTATTTCATTTGCCGGTCATTGCGCTATAGACAGCTGCCTTTGTGGGCCAGTTAGGCAGCGAAACAAATATGTGTACACATGTCTAAAACTATTTGTTGTCCGCCTTGTACACTGACTGCCCCGGCTGGCACGATTTTAATGTTTGCGCTTACCACACAAATTCTGTTAACAATTTCTTTGCTTTTTTCCGGGGCTTAACAGAGCGCAACGTTTTGGAAAACCGTTTTTAATGCCATTTTTATTTCCCATCCGAGGTTTTTGTATTAGCAGCCGCATCAGCAGCCCAGCGGGGATTTCTTTTATGGCGAGAAAGACTTGCGTAAGTCGCAGTCGAGCAGAGTCATTGGCATTATGCAAATGAGCCGCGAGGCGAGAAGGTAAATTAAATTGTTTTTCGTTCACCTCAAGATGATTATCGGGGCTCCTCAAGACGTTTACCGTTAATTGAACTGCTGCCCAGTAAGCTCTATAAATTTGTTGATTATTCTGCCTTTTTGGGAATTATTCTCTCTTTTTTTTGCTCACTTATGGGGCCCGCACAAAAGAAGTGATTGAGTGAAAGAATCAAAGTGTTGAGCTGGCCCAAAGCTCAATGGCCTTGAGTTCTAATTCCTCAAGAGCGGAAAGAAATTTCGAACAATGGCTTAGAGCAACACCTACATGCCTGCATCCAAATCGAAGACCATCCATGGTCAGCACAATTTGCCATTTGATTTCTCTTATTTGTTGTGAGCCGCCGTCGAGTCTCTGGAAATTGGCCAGCACTTGGGAAGCTGACGGAAGCTTGACCAAAAAATTACAGCACACACGGAGCAAGAGCAAATCGGAGCCGAAACTTAAGAACTTAAGTGCAATTGTCTAGACAGGCTAAGCATTTCGCCGACTTACCGCGCAAAGCCCGATTTGCCACAGGTAATCACATAAAACTTATCGTCCGCCAATTCCAGAGTCTTGTGCACACGCACGGCCAGTTGGATAGAACGCTCCTCGGTGCGCTGCGGGGGATTGGGAGTCGTCCATCGAGGGATGGTGGAGAGAGGGGAAGAAAAGTTCATTTAATTGCCGGTTATTAAAAGTTTATGCCCATGACGTTAATGCTGATTGGTTGGAAAAGCCGAGTTAGGTCCCAATTTATGATCAAGCCGCTCAGGCTTCGCCTATAAAACAGGAGCATAAGTCTACGAGCCAGCTGTTGGCACTCGCAAAAGCATAATTCTCACCTCGGCAAAATCTGCATTTTACTTTTACACTTTTCTTAAACTCAGTACTTTTCTTTAAGCCTTAGCATATTTCACAAGATTTATAAAATAAAAAATTAAAATTGTTACACACTTAAAATGCTTTCTTAAAACATATAGGCACTGAAGTACAAGATCTACTTGAAAATTATCGATATTTTCTATATTTGACAGTATTGATTCGATAATATCGATGTTTTGAAAGAAAAACATAAGTTCAATATTTTTACAAGTTCTACATTTAAGTACAGATTGCACTATGGGCAAATATTCAGTCCTTGAGGCATAAACTCCAGTTTTAAAGATACAAATCTAAAATTTTTGTTATATACTTTTAAGGCTAAGATGTAATTTCGGTTTTTGTTGCTTTTTGAATCGGACCACATCTTCATCCTACGCCCACGCCGCAGATATACATTTGAAGGCAAGGATTTAAAGAAAATGTTGTTTGTGTTGGTAACTGTAATACAATTTCTGTTTTTGTTAAATTTTGAATTGGACCAAGTCTCCATCAACCGCCAACGCCGCATATTTACTTTTAAAGGCAAGGATATAAAAAAAATGTATTTGTTAATGAATATTTCATATTTAACGCCTTTCGCAACAAAACTGAAGTATCTTCTTGTTTGATATTTTTTGCCAAAAGAAGCACCATGCCAAATTAATGGCATCGAATTTTCTTTTCTTTCGCCAATTGAGATGCCACCTTACGCTTTAATCGTGGTCCTGCCTCATTAGAAGTTAGGCATTTGCGACCAGGTTTGTCGCTTGGCAAGCCCTTTTCCAAAAATGAAATTTTCATGTTCGACGAAAGCCGCAGGAAATGTTCTTCCTTGAATCGGTCTATTATTCTTTGACATTTTGGCAAATTACGACTAAAAAAGGCAACAATCTGCTTAATTTTTTTTTGACTATTGTGTGCTGACTATCGTTTAATTCGATTCCGTTCATAGTTTGCAAAACAAATTCCATCACAGCGGTTTGTTGCCGGTTGTTGCCGATACAAACATTAAGCAATGTGTAGTGACAGAACTCGAATGCAACTACAACGTGGAGGTTTTACGTATAACGTGCAAAAACGTGCAAAAAGTATTGATAGGGTTCGATTAGCAATTGTTTTGTTTATAACTTCCTATTTTTACCTTGCCTATACTCTCCTATACTCACATCTTACACTCCACAGAAAGCAAAAATACATTTCTTATTTGTCATCTAAAAACTAAGCGACAACTCATCAAACAAATGGACAAAAAGCACATATAATAAACATTCAGTGTTTATAATTTATTTAACAATCCTTCACTCTTTGTATCCATATTTAAACTTTTTTGGTTGGCTTACAATAACCAAAGAAATCGAGGTGTGAAAACTACAAAGTTTTTCGTCCCTTTTTGTAAACGTGTGACCCTATTTCAAACTTTCGAATTTCTTAAGGGAAAAAATAGCGAAAAACGCCAAATAAAATTCTTTGAAAATGGATTTTAGGTTCCTTTAAGTATTGTAAATAACCACAGAAGGTCATTTATGTAATACTGAAGAACAAAAAAATTTAAAAATGCCTCACTTTCGAATTTTTTGCCCATAGTGGATTGTGGAAAATAGAGTAAAATAACGATGCTAAGATCCCAGCCCCTACTCATTTAAGAACTAATGTTCTGAGTTTTTAAAAACAAATCTAATATTTTTAAAATTCCTGCCATTTTTTTAAAATGATTTCAAGGCATAAATGCTATTTATTTCACGAATTATTCTAAGTAAAACGCTTCCCCTATTCTCTGGCCAAAATCAAGGATAATTGTTCTATTCAGTGCCTCACTATTTTCTTCGACTGTAAGTGGCCTGCCCCACGGCCGTGGCTGCAACTTGCACTTGTGGCATGTTAATTGTCACATGATGCAATCGCACAACGAGGAAATGCAAAATGCCGCCAAGTGTGACGCATTTTCCAGTTGTTTATTTTCTCCTTAGCGTTTTTCCCCTTGGCTATGATTGCTCTCTGTTGGTTTACTTAAATATGCCCATGCTCATGCTATGGCTATCATGGATTTCGGTAATTATTTTAGAATCATTTTGAATATCATCTGCAGCTGGCTTGTGCAGCGGTATGTGACTGCAGATGGGCAACTGTTCCAAGAATCTCTGCGCTCGGCTGGCCAAGATATTCCGCGGTAATTGCTCTAACTGTTGCCCAAGGCTTGACTGAGTTATTTTGTAATGTTTGTTTTTTCCCTCGATATTATGGACCCGGCCTTGACCCGCAACAGCTTTCCATAAAAAGATGAACGAAAAAAAAGTACAAGTTTCTTTGTCACTTCTGAGTGGCTTACATCGTTTTTGCAGCAGCTGGCAGTCAAACCAGTTTGCATTGCCCAGTAAATAAGTGTCAATCGGTGTGAGTAGATACTTGGGTGAGTAAATATATATATTTTATATATTATTTTATCTCTCTGTTAATGGTTTAATCGCACGCCTCCACTTTTTCAGGGTATTAAAGCGTTGATGAATGGGTTGGCTTGATTAGAGTTTGGTCAGTGGCTAGTTAAAGCGGTTAGCAAGTAAACACAACGTATCGCAGCAGTCAGAAATAAATACCTTGGCTGGGCGGAGAGCTCTAGCTCTCCATTGGTGGGGAACGTTGTCTGTTTGTGATTGTGATGTCACAATCCGTTTGCCAACTCATGCATCACGCAGTTGCATGCCGCAGCGGATGAGCTCATTATCAGGTTATTATCAAAAGCCAAAGAAAATGGCAAAGTTGATTCCCCCTAAGTACATGTGTACATACGCTCTATGAGCGACTCCCAATTACCCGTCTAAGTCGTCTAAATGTGTTGAAATTGCCTGATGGCAAATTGTCTTGCGGCCCCTGCCTACGGTCTTTGGCTATTGCATTCGCAATTAACATTTAAATGTATATAATGGTGCTAGACAAAGAACCAAAGCTGCCATCATCAAATAATGGCAAACAATCTCTGGCGGGGCAACCCACTCGCGCAGCAGCGAAAATAGAAATAATAATAATAACAATAATAGTGCCCGTAATAAGAAATAAGTTCAAGTACGCCAAGCCAAGCCAGGCTAAGTCGAGCCAAGCTAAGCCACAATGCCGTCTTGAACTTTATGTAAAAATTGTTGGGCGTCTTGGCCATTGTCAGCGCCAATTTCATGCTCTGCCAGCTGCGCTGGAGCAGATTTAAAGATACTCTCTCAGGAAGGCTGTGGCACTGAGGAGACGAGGGCGAAAGTGCCCAACTGCAGGCGGCATTTTTCTGGCCAAGGTCAGTCGGCTTCAAAAGGCATTTCGCCCCAGCAATTAAAGTGGCTCGCAAAAATATTTGCCAAGAAATAGAATCGAATTTGCGGCCGCACAAAAAACATTCTTTTGACACAAATTCCACGCAGCCGGCACAACAATAGCAACATCGGATCCAACATACAACATCCACATCACATCCACAACAACGGCTTGGAATGCTGTCAAAGTCGAAGCGTGGAAAGCCGTGTCTGGGCATGTGAAATCCGCCGTCTGCCGATGAAACTAGACGCCGGCGCAAGCTGCCAAGGCACTCCCTTTCAGAACAGCCAGCAGACATTAAGGTACAGTGGAGGCTCGGGTAAGTGAACTCATCAACACTTCAACAGTCTATATAGCAAGGGAATAGCAGGAGTTTTTCCAGATACAAGCTTTAAAATTTAAGGTGATATTATTACTGCCTAGTCTTTTTGTCATTTTCTATGATTAATATCCTGCTCCGCCTAAAATTTTTTGAAAATAATATATTTAAACTACGAACACAAATAACATTTATAAATAAATTAATATTAAAATTTAAATTATTTAAGATTTTCAAAACATAATATACCTGAACTATTTTAAGATTGAATTTAATTTTTATATTTTCAAGAAATACTTTATAAATACAAATATAAAAGTTTATCCAATAAAGTTAAAGAAAAATTTAATTAAAAATATAAACAATTATTAAGCCCACTGGGTATTTCGTTTAGAATTTTAAAAATAAGTTGAAAGTCCCACAAATCCAATTAATTTTAAAATATTCTAGCCTTGCCATTGCTCACTGTACAACCTTGCACATAAGCAGCGGATATGTGCGTGTTTTTGTGTACACGTAAAAATAAAATTGAAGCCGCAGTTGCGATAAGCGTGATTTAATTTTATGGGGGACCTCCCCTTTTTTTGTTCGCATCCCCAAATGAAGGTGGGCCTCGGAGCTGCAAATCTCGCCCAGCATCGAAAGCCGGGCTCTAGTTTTGCCCCAAGTGAGCAAGGGGCCAAGCTGAGAGTACAGGGTGCGGTCGTTGGGATTTGACATTGCAATTAATAATGTTGTATGTGCTTGTACTTATAAGCATCTGGCAGCCAGCCCTATGGATATGGATAATTTGCATTTCAACGCATTGGGGGAATCTCCACTATGGCTAATGCGATTTGCCTTTGTCTGGCAATTGTTCGAGTGCGTGTGCGAATGGAAAGGCCGGACCCCAGCCCAGATCCAGACCCACACGGAATTGCAGTCGCCGCCTGTCAACGCCTGTGATGCACGTAGGATTAAACTTGATTTTTATTGCCATCGTTACTATATAGACTGACTGCAACGTCGACGGACCAGCGGACCAGCTTACCAGCGTCTTTGCTGATTTGCGTTGATTTGGGGCCAAGACTCAAGTACACGGCCGATAGGCGGGCTCAAATTTATGCGCATGCGTGCCCTTTCTAGCCAGACAAGGTCTCAGTCTCAGACTCTGGCATCAGGTCTCTCAGTCTTAGCCTCTGTTTCTAGTCAGCAGACAGTCTGCTGTCTCGCATCGGCAGTTTTTCAGCTGCCCAAATGATTGCCTCACAGTTCACAGTTGGTGGCTTTTCCTCAGCTGACTGCCTGAATTTTGGCGGTAATTTGCAAATTATACTCGCTGGCTGACAAAATTAATTTGCGATTTTTCGAAACGGAAGGTGGTAAACGAAAGACTTAAAACACGAACTTGCTGGCTGCGTGAGTAACTGGATGGAAATTACTGGTAAAGCCGGTCTCCAAAAGTTCTTTACTTCTAGCAATTACTTTGTTAAGCTGTTCAAAAGTCTTATACAATTTCTCACCTAATTAAATTCTCTAATTGTATGATATTAGCAGACAATTTCTTTAATGTTCTTATAGAGTATTTTTGAAGATATTGTTTGCATGTTGAGCAGAACATTTTCAAGTTCTCATGAACTTTGACTCTATTTAGCTAAGGTTCAACTCCCTAACTCCATATGATAGATCTTTTCTTTTTTCTAATATTTTTTTTAATTCATATTTCTGAACTTTTAAATACACCTTGGTCTTCTTTCTACCTATATAACTGTTTTTCGCAACCCCAACGTCAAGTTGTGCATGGTTTAGTGATTATTGGTGGTTAGAAAAGCGCAGAGGGTTATGCTTACATTGCTTCCACTCACGTTGCTGACCAGGATGCCGCAGTAGTCGCTGGCGCCCTGCTTGGCCCACAGATTCAGGCTGAAGGCCACCTGGTCGCTGCCGTCGCCCATGGCCATGCAGCCGGGAGTGCGGTAGTCCCGGACGTGGACGGCGCCCGTGTAGCCGGAGCTCATCTTCACCTTGATGTTCATCGTGCCCGCCTTGCAAGTGGCCGTCACGTGGGGGGCGAATTCGGACGGGGCGGCCGCCGGTTCCTGTGTTGTGACCTGCAATGAATACGAAATGCGAAAATGAGAAGAGCGTTGAGCGTGTTTAGCATCTTCGGTTAATAACTTTGACCCGATTTCTGGACCCTGGGAACCAGCCAACGCACTAACTTGGCCGGCAAATTAATGCCAACTCATTGGCCAAACAGCAGCCGCTAAGGAAAATTCAAATGAATTTTAAATGCTAAGCCAAAGAGTCAGCCGTGGTCGCAATTAATTGCAAAGCGGCCAAGAGAGACCCGGAGATTGGCCAGAACTTTGGGCCAGAACACACAGCTGCCAATGTTGTGCACGTTTTGGGTCAGTTTACAGCTTACAGCCGGGCGCACTGTCAAAGGCATTTGGCTCTAAGATAATTTATTGGCGTGCTCGACTTGGGTTGCTGTCGCTCCGTCGTGATAATTGAATTTGTGCTCCAGAACGTTAGGGAATGGCAGTCGAAAGAATGGAGTGGGTACACAAGAAAAAGTGGGGAGATTAGGTAGGTAAAAATTCTTAGAAACTTGTTAAGAATATTTCGGAGATAATAAATTGGCAAGTTTTATCGATTGTTAAGTTTTCACAATAGATTGGCCAAGATAATCGCTTAAATTCTTTTAAAAAGTTTACTATTAATGTTAAATATAGCTATTAATTTCCATTTATAATTTATTTTCTAACAAAAATTTGTTCCATTTGTCAAGCGGAAGATGGCAAACAAAAGACTTAAGACACGAACTGGTTTGCTAGTAAGCAAACTTGTCTGTTAAAGTTTGCATGCTGACTTTCAACACAAAGAAGGATTAAATAAATAAGACTGCTATAAAAATCCAATAATTTTCCGAGTGTAGCTGCTAGATAAGCCGCGCCAAAGTTAAGTAAGCCATGTCATGACAATCGCCCAGACGCCGCCTTTGTGGTCCAACTGGGCTCACGTTTCGCCGGCCCTCGGGCGCTGTCCCAATCCAGGTGATTTCATTCCCCCTTCTCAGCCTTTTCCCTGTTTCTGCCAAAAGGCAAAAGGCCTTTGATTTATATTTACTTTCCAAAAGGCAGCCACAGCAACAGCATCTCGTCCGCCCTTCGGCATGCCAAAAAATAAAAGATGAAATTTTGTGCACTCATTGAAGCAATTAATTTTCCACTCAGCCCACTCCGCCCGCCGAGCTGCTACTGTGCGTCAGGTGAAATGCAGCCGGGTGACCCAGTTTCCCGGCTCTGAAACGCTGACAGAACGCCGCAGTCGGTGCCAAAAACATGTTGGCCAGTGTGCCACTTTCTATGGCAACTAGAACATCCACTTTGCATGCCATCAGCAATTTATTGTATCTCAATGCGCCGGCCACTTTAATCTAAAAAAAAGGAGGAAAAAATATCGAAAAAGAGCAGAGACAATGACAATGGTGGATCTGGATAGCCAACGATCTCCGCCGATGGGGAGTTCAATGCGCCGCGAGGGTCACATGAGAGTGGGTCCCCAGAGCAACTTCGGCTCCGAACTCCCATGACAATTTGTCGCTCGGCGAAAAGGCAATTGTTTTGCATGGATTTTTGTGCATTTTATTGTGTTTTTCTCGTCGCTGCTGCTGTTGTTGTTGCGTCTCGCCAACTGCAGGCGGCAGTCAATTAAAATAGTTTTTGCATGCTCGTTTCACTATCGTTTCGAGTGTGGCGGCGGCTTGTTAAAATAGCTAACCAAATGTACAGCATTTGGCTTTTGTATTATGCAACACGCTCTGATTGTGGTCGGGGGAAAAAATAAAAATGAAATTCAGAAAAACAGAAAACAAAATGCAAACCCAAATACAATTAGACACTTGCGCTGCCAGTCACGCCATGGCCAATGAGGCAGTGAGCCGCGGCTTTTGGCTTGATGGATTTTCCCCGCAGGACACTACGGCCGAGTGATTTTTCACAAATTCCTTTTCCTTTCCGAAACCCAACCGCATGCAAAATCGTATCGCAAAATCGAAACGCAGCTGGAACCAAAAGAGCAGGCCCAGAGACTCGCAGACTCGCAAAATCGCTGACTCGCCCAGGATCATTAAGTGGAGCCCCAGATGGAGGTGATTTATATGGCTGCAAGGGGTCAGGCCATAAACTAAAAGTGTTCGGCCCGCCGCATTTAAGCAGCTTAGCTATTAAGCCAAGTGACGTGGGCAATTAGTACAGGAAGGCCAACTCGTTTCATCCATTATTTTTTTTTTTTTTTTTTAGCCTGGGCAATTATCTGCTTAGGAATGACAAAACTGCAAGAGTTTAAGTGAAAAATGACGTTCTGTCTGGGGCGGTGGAGAGACCGCCCTGGAAATGCTCTGCTTGTTGGGAAATTAAGTTGGTTCTTTTGGAGTCAGGCGATTTTATGGACGCATAGATGCGCTGTTCTAAATCCCTCATAAAACTGGAGTGGCATTTATGGGTCTGCAGACAAATGGATGTTATTGAATTTATTTCTTTGCAAAAGGGTAATAAAATGTTGGCTAGCAGTTGGCCCAAAAGGAATGCCTTAGTTTTTATTAAATGTAAATAAGAGGTTCCCATTTCATTTTAAGAACTTTAAGTCAAATGGTATGTCATTAATAGCTTTAAGTCTCTTAATTTCTAGCTTCAAGGAATAAATTAAAAAACTTCCAAAAATGTTCAGTGTACGTCTTATGTTTTGAACAGTTTATAGTATCAAATCGATACGAGGAGATTATCTTATCAAGTCGAAATTGATACCACATAACATCAAATCGATTATCGTTAGGTATTCCTTTTAAAGCTACATGGGTGATAAAGCTAATTTTTATTATTAGAAGGAAAAGAATACAGTCTAGCTGATTTTCTCGCAAGCAGTCAATATTCCCATGCGGAATTCGGGCCTTAAAAGTTGATCACCTCTTTGGCTAAGCAATTAAATGTGATTGTGATTTATGTGCACGGCTAATTCCACTCAATTTACGTTGGCCCGACCGCCTGGGTGTGTTTCCTTAACTTAAATATTTCGCAAGAGCCAGCGACGTTTTATTATTTTTTTTCCTTTTGATTTTGGATTTTAGTCGAAGCGATACAATCGCCAAAGTCATAGTCCCAAGTGCAGCTGCGCATAGTTGGCCAAAATAGATTGCCAAACATATTTCGATCGCTGGGAGTCGAGAAAACCAAAAAACCAAAAAAAAAAACAAACATGTGCTGCAAGTTCGACTTAGAAGCTAAACAAAAACAAAACTCGTGCATAACAAAAGGTGGGGAGTCGCAGTCGCCTTTAACATACATATTTCGCGTGCATTTGAATTTCCGCTATGTGGCGCTCGGGCAATAAAGCTCGGCCCGAAGTAAATTATAACATAAGGCCCGGGCCAAGCCTTCCCGACTGAGTCGGACTAAGCCGCCTTTTCAGTTGGCCAGCGAGTCCAGCGAATGCTGGCTGATTGCAAATTGTCACGGTATTTTCGCTGGCAGCGCATAAATTGCCGTTTAACTCGCATTACAGTACCGCCAGCCAGATGGGAGCGTATTTATGTGCGGCCAGAGCTTCAGCTTTGGACCTGGCCGAAAAGCTTAATGAAGCTGACATCGCCATCGCCGGTGAGGAGGAAAACCCGTTCCGAGCTTTGCCTGATTATATAATGCAAAACGGCGGGTCGAGTGACAGCTGAAAGGGTTTTTCCAACGGTTTTATCTTTTCGGCCAGGAGTTAGGGCCCACCGATGGGTAGATAAACCACCAGCCACCAGAGAGGAGGAAAGGCCGTGGGCAATTAATGTCGCGGCGGCTTCAATTAAATTTCAATTGCCGGCGCGCTTCTCCATTGAAGTTCTGACGCGCTAATTCCATGGCACGTCGATGGTCCCATCGGTGGTTACTCCACCGACTCCACCTTTTGACTCTGTCAGCGGGTCTGCACGTTCGGCGGCGACCCTTCCACCATTCCACCGCTCGGTGGGTCAATTGTGTGGCTCATAATGAAACGCTGTCGTACCACTAATATAATAATAAGCACTTGTTCCCTCCTTCGTTCCCGCCATTCGAGCCCAAAAACAAAGTTCTGGCCTTTTGTTCGCTGCTGCTGAAAGGCCATCAATAGAAAAGCTTTGTAACTTCTTCAAAATATTGCTGAACAACATTCCGAACGGTGTTCTTTGCCGCTTATTTATGTTTCTAATTTATCGATGGTCCGTGGAATCCGAAAGATAGCTAAGACAACCCAGCAGTAGCCCAAACCAATGTCTGGCTTTAATGAGTTTCGCCCTGACCAGCTGGGAAATTATGCTAAGTACTTTCTATTCTCCGGGCTTACAAGGGCTGGCCATGTTTTGAAAGTTTTCTTTTAATTGAATTAGCCTCTTTTTGGCGGCCAGAAAGGGTCAGCTCTTTTATACGAACATTCTAGTCATCATTTCACCAAGTGCATCGATCCCTTCATTCTTACCCTTCATTCTTACCCATTCTGAAAATCTATGGAGATTATATTGCACTTAAGTGCATCTTCATAAATGTAATGCTTTCTTTTATTCATAATTTTTTGAGTGAAGCTAATCCTATCTTTTATTCATAATTTTTTGAGTGAAGCTAATCCTATCATGAGTTGCTAGGTTTTTTGACTCGAATTAGCCCAAAGTTCTAATCATCCTCTTATTTAAATTAGAGGTTATTTTGAATTACTGCTCTGAAAATTATGAGTCTTTTTTAATCTTTCTTAATTTATGGTGGCCTTTATCTTGAGATTTTTCTATTAGTAAAAATTTGGCTATTGTTATTTTTAAGGTCAATAAGAGCTATTAAGAAACATATTGTGAATTTATAGAGGTTATCCATTCAAATAATCAAGGCCATTTAAGAACATGAGAAGGCACTTCAGAACCTTTTCCAAAAAAAGTTTATCCAAGTACATTAGCAGTCCCAACTTTCATCTCAAACTTAAAGAAAATATTACCCCTTAGTAATCATTTGTTTGATTGAAACAATCGCTTATCGTGATTCCGAAGTTGTCACACTTTCTTTGACCATCGCCTTAATTGCTATCAAAAAAGTTTGGC